CACCCACACACCCACCCACACCCACACCCACACCCATAATCCTTAAATCAATTCACTTAACCTACTATGCCAAAGTAATTGCCGAAATATTCAACCATAATTTGCTGTATAGAAAAACCTTGGAAGAAAAACTCTGTTTTTATTAAAAGGAGCAATAATATCTGAACTGCAATTTCTAGACCAAGCATTTTTTTCTCGAACGTATCTGAGAAGAAGAAAAATTCTAAAACTAAACACCTCTAAAAAAGTGCTTGCAACTTTTTCAGTGATTGTTATCATCTTTTTTATTTCTATGAACTGTTTTAATATCAGACAAAAATGCGAAATATTTTCAATAATGAATTTTGTAGTCTAAAGACCACTCTTTAAAATCATGGATTGGAGTTCAAATTTTTTTCTACAGTAGTTATAATATGAATAGACTGCTTTTTCTGGAAACGACGAAAGCAATTCAAATTTTTTCATTATCTAGGCACTTTGCAGCACTAGAAAGCCTTTATTGAAGTGTTTTCTTTGCGAAGTTTCTATAATCTCATATATTTCACATGAATAATGCAAAAGAAAATGACTTTATATATAATTTCTTAAAATAGTGGCGGATACTCTGTTAAACTGATAGTTCTTGATAAAACGGTCTTTTCAAAAAATTTTCAGCTTTCAAACTTTTTCGATAAAAAAGTCTAGAATGAATCTAATATATTTTAACAATGATTGTATTGACCGAGTTTTCGACGCGCTAGATTATCATGTCTTTTGCTATCAAAATTTAGTTCATGTAGCTTTTAATATTCTGAAGCGTACATTTTTCAAGATGAAAAAAAGTTGCAAAAACTTTTCAGAAATGTTTGGTTTTTGTTTTTTTTTCTTCTCGTCAGATTCATTCTAAAAAGCTTTGACTAGTATGAAATTTGTAGCTCGAGTGTTTCTCTATCTAATAAAAGAGCAAACCTTCTTTCCAGCATATTCCTGTACGAAGAGCTATAAACTGAGATTTTGGCAATTACTTTTGCATAGTAGGTTATCTTATTTCCGAGCAGAAATGGAATAGGTTCAGGTTTTCCAAAATTTAAATCAAACCAAAACTGAAATTTCTTAAATCAAATCAAACCAAACTGAACCGAATCGATCTCATCTCTGCTTCACATGTGAGCGCTTTTATATGAGATCAGAATAAATGAGAATGTTGTGTAGATCATTAAACAACATTATCAGTTTGGATTTTAATCAAAGAAAAAGAAAAATAATTCTATTATTTTTATTGTTAATATAAACACAAAATAAAACTTCAAAACTGAAATCAACCTAAAAACCAGTCATGAAAAAAATTTTTTTTTTCGCTCTCTTTCAAGCACGTCTTCAATATCAACAATGTATATCAATACAACTCTACTCTGCATTTTGTTTTTAATCGAACCAAATTTATTAATTTTTTAATACTAACTCTAGCTTAAATAGAATATTATTTCGAGAGGTCAGAAAGAAAAAGAAGCTTTGTATCTATTTAGTGATTACGAAAGAGAAATAATAAATGAAATCCTACAAAAGAGTAGAAAAGAAATATTCACACCAATATGAAATTAATAGAAATGAGATACGATCTTTGATATGAAAATATGAATTACTTTTGTTAAAACATAAAACAGTTTTAGTTTTATTTCAAAAAATGTTTCTGACTGTAATTGAGTGGGTTTTTTCAGAAATTAATCATTGCTTTTCCTTCTCTTTTGCAAATGAACATGATATATATTGAAAATTTATATTCAATATAGAACAAAATATACGAAAAGATGTCACTACAACAGCATATATAAATCATATTTTGTCATTATAGATCACTTTTTAATAAATAATCAATAACATAATTTGATAGAAAAAAAAATTCTCTACAATCTAGGATCAAAATTATGTCTAGCCCATCTCAAAAATATAAAGCACCAATCCGTAAACATTTACCATTGATTCGCTTTTTTTATGTTCTTTCTTGGGTAAAGATCCGTAACAATGTATAAAAATGCATTTTTGACGGCCTGTCATCGAGCTAGACAAACGTAGACACAAGAATATATATATAAATACTTTGAAAAAAGCATCACAACGATCAAACGTAAACATGAATCGTACTGACATTCATCTACTTGATCTACCTGTTGAGATATTACTTAAGATCTTAAAAGAATTGAACAATGTAGATGTTCTCTATTCATTGATCGGAGTTGAAGGACTTAACATTCTAGCACAAGATGAAATATTTACAAACACTCTCAATTTTGCGTTTACCGATAATAATGATAATTATTCAATGGATGAACCAATGTTAAATCGATTTTGCAAGGATATATTACCTCGAATTCATTACAATGTTAAATGTCTTTATTTGAAAACAACAACTATGGATCGTATTCTACATGCTGGTGTTTATCCAAATCTAACTCAACTCAAAATATTCCAATTTCATGGAAATTTGTTTTCACACTTTTGTACAGGTAAATAACTTAGGAATTTATTTATCTAAATAAAAAATAGAAGATTAGGATATTTAATTGTATTTTGTGTTTAGATGAATTACTTTTCCGATACAATTTCAAAAAACAAATTACAGATCTTACACTGATTCATCACAGTGATGAAGTAGAAACGATAGATCAGATGACAAATATATATATAAAATTTTTTGATTTCTTTGCAAATCTAAACTGTTTAGATTGTATTGAACCATCTTTTACTAATAATGCAGTATTATCATTTGTTGATTTACCATCAAATACTTTTGTTTCTTCAAATCTAACTAAATTACGGATCACTGTGGATAGTTTTGGAGATTGTCTTCGATTACTTGATGGTCGTCTCAATCAATTGTCTACATTTATTGTTATTATCGTTAATGTCAAAGATTCTTCATCAACGGAATTCAATTCAGTAAGTAATGAAGATCCAATATTGTTTGAATGATTGATTTTTATAATTGATACATGCATATTTTTTTCGATAGAATAAACTAGTTAATGTATAATGGTTTCTTTTGATTAGAGAACTGTGGGATCAATTTTTTTTTGTCCGGCTCCTCCATCAGTTGTTGTTAAACCTTTCTGTTTATTCTTGTTTTAATTTCGTCTTTGGAAAAAAAACTCTTGTGTGAATCTATATGATTTTTCCAAAATACTTAACTATAAATAATGTATAATTAAAACCGATATTTTCAAGAAATTAGCAATACCGGCATATCTTTATATTTATGGATTACATCTAAGAAAATAGCAAACATTTTATTTCTTACTTGAAATCTTTTCTGTTACATCTTTTATTTTGAAAACTTTCTTAGAATCTATCATTCTTGCATTGATGCTAGATCGAATTGAATAATTTTCAATCAATGTCTACTGAAGTATCAATTTAATTATATGATCATTTGAAATCTGTCTAGTCTTATAAATATTGATGAAGCTGAGCTTGTACATCTGTACTATCATCAGAATAATAAATAAAAAAAATCGAACTATTGATTCTAAGTCAAGAAATATTATAAATTCGAAAAAATAGGAAATAATTTCTCGAACAAACGATGTAGCGGTACCAGTTTATCAAATTATTAGACCTGATGCTGTGAAAATCAAAAGATGATCCTCGCCGGACCAGGGTTACTTTCCAGTTTTCTACTTCTGATTTAATATCTAATAGAGAAATAGTAAAGTATTTGGATAAGATTTTAATTCATATAATTTTTTCATTGATTTATAATATCTAAATATAATTCATCGTGTTTTAATCTAGTAAAAGTTTATATGTTTCATATATTATTATCAAAAGCTTTTATACGTAATCGAGTGATTAAAAAGATTGAAGAAAAATTTTTAAATCTAATATATGATCTTAAATTATGAGTAAAATTCATCGGATCCGACTTTGAAGATTTCTATGAGTCAGTTACAGATTGAAAAGAATATTTGATTCATATTAGAAATTTCTTTAAATTATTGTTCATCTTATTTCAAAAGTATTTAAGTTATTTTTAAAAGTAGAAAAAAAAATAAAGTATAAGTTTCGTTCAAGTATGAACCAACAAAAAATTCATTGTTGAGCCTTGGGATACAAGAATTTTGGGGCCTAATGATCTCAAATTGTAAACCTATTTTTTCCTGAAACTGATATAAACTGATTATGTTGTATGTTTTAGAATGTTCTACAGAATTTGAAACGTTTCTCATTGACATATGAATCTTTAACCAATGAATATGATAATCAAGTTGTACCTCTTCTTCGTCAAATGTGTAATCTTCAAGATTTAACATTATATATTCAAATCAAGGAACGAAATAGACTCGTCGATGGCATTCAACTTGAAAATGATGTTCTTATTCATTTGTTAAAGCTTCAAACATTTGTTTTTTATATCTGTACTTTAACTTATTCCAATAATCCTGTTACTCCTTTATCAAATGATGATATTCAACGAACTTTTTCTAATGTTAAATTTGGACAAGTTGGCTGTAGTATGAATCATTTCAAAGAGTCTGATATCACATACCATGTTTTCTCCCTTCCGTTTAAATTTAAACGTATAGGATACATTGGTAATAGCTATACGAATACGATATTCAAGAATGTTACTTTTTTATGTGTATATGACGGTATCCCTTTCGAACATGAATTTTTTGTTCGATTGGCTCGATGTTTTCCATTATTGAACGCTTTATTGATTATAAATTATAAAGCACAGTCAAAAGATTCAGCTAGATCTGAACATGACAATAATGAATCATTTGAGGTTGTCCAATATCTTCATCTTAGATCACTTGAGTTTTGCCTTACACATATTGATTATGTTGAACAAATGTTAAATGAATCAAAAACACATTTACCTTGTCTAACAGAATTAGTGATTGATTATGATCAATTGAAAACTATAACAAATAACTTTACTAGAGATGCAACGAGACTTAATTGTATCAATGTGGAAGAATTAGAGTTTCACAATTTTATCAATCTTGATGATAGTGATTATCAATGGACAATAGCACAATCAAAAGATTTTCACGTTTATTTTCCGTTGTTGAAAAATTGTGATTTTTTGTAATTATCTGTATATAACGAAATAAAGATTAAAAAAATCTAGTTTTATTATGATTTTAAAAAATCCTGTTAAGTCTAGTAGAGGCTGTTATGCAGTGGCAAAGGTTAACGAGTCCAATAATGTGTGAACTCAGACGCGATTGATTAGAAATTTCATGATCTAAAAGTGCAGCAATCAATTTTTTTGGCGGTTGAGACTTGAAAGAAGCTTGTATTTTATTGTTTGTTTTTTGCCACTTTTTAGAAACAAATTTAACGTTTTTGGAGTAAGATGAACAAAAATTGAAAGAAAATTTTTAAAAGATTTCTAATATGACTTAAAATGTTTTTCAATCCGAACCTGACTAATAAAAATCTTCAGACTCGATCTGATGAACTTTACGCATTGGTTTGCACCTTTATCTACATGCTTCATTTCATTTTATATACACATGCACACCGATGTGAAGGAATTTGAACTCCTAATAATCATTACTAACTATGAAAGTCTTTTCATTGAGTGTGAGTTTTTATAATTTATATAATCTGAAAACATAAAAATCAAACGGATTTTTCTATTGAATTATATTATTGAGTCAGTATTCCTATTTTCTAAGGTATTGAAGAAATCAGATATATTATTTTGATTTATTTTAAAAGAAATATACTACTATTTGAAAATATTTTTGACTTATGAGATTCAGCGTTCGTTTAAATTCGATTTTACTTATTTCAATTTCAATTTCTTGTTTTCGATTCATGAGCAGTGAAACTGTTATACAAAAATGAGCACGTGACAGAGATGTCCATCGCGGCGCTGCCGCGCCGCCGCCGCTGCCGCTGCCGCTGCCGCGGTGGCGGTGGCGGCGCGGCAGCGGCAGGTTTTTAAAAAAAATCACCGCGGCAGCGGCGCGGTAGCGGCAGATTTTTTTAAAAGTCATCGCGGCAGCGGCGCGGTAGCGGCAGGTTTTTTAAAAAACCATCGCGGCAGCGGCGCGGCAGCGGCAGGATTTTTTTGGAGGACATTGAAAAACTGTATGAATTTAATAGAATTTCACGATTTACAAATGAAACGCCCTGATATTGAATAAATCTGATGGACTAGTACCCATATCTCTGGTCAAATATAGTCACAGCAGTGAAATTAGAAACACTTTTTTGAAAATCGTCGCGGCAGCGGCGCGGTGGCGGCACGTTTATTTTATAATTCATCGCGGCAGCGGCGCGGCAGCGTTTCTTTTATAAGTCATCGCGGTGCGGCAGCGTCGCGGCAACATTTTTTTATAAACCGCCGCGGCGCGGCAGCGGTGCGGCAGCTTTTTTTTTCTAAGGCCGCGGCGCGGCAGCGGCAGATTGTCAGCCGCGATGGACATCTCTGGCACGTGAAGAAAGAAATATGTTATGAACTCATTTGTGTCTATCTATAACACTTAGTAAAAGTGACCATACAAATGGCAATCTCGATAAAATAATTGACTACAGATATGCATTAATTCCACCATTATTTTGGTCAATTGAGCCAGTGTTTTTTTGTGATTTAAGAGCCATTGCCTGTAAGAATCACGGACTTTGGGAAGTGACACCGCTCAGAACTGCCTGAAAATTTCAGGGTATAGAGAACAAGTTGTCCTGATTTCAAAAATAAAACTTTTTTTAAGTACTCATAAGGTAATAAAAAAGTTATGGCTGCCTGACAGTGCTCAAAATGGGTAAAAATCGATTTTTTTTCAAATTGTCGAAAAAACTTTTTGATATGCCAAGAATGTAGAGCTCGTCGAGCTGATCATTTTTTACATTGGCAATATTTCTCTAGAACGTAAGCTTCCATCACTAATTTGGCTCTAAAGTAGACAAAAATTAAGAATTTAATCTGTTTTTCCATAAGATCTCATATTTCACCATTAAAATTCAACACAAGTACTAGCTCATAATACATAGATGTAATGATCTCACCATCAGCTACACGCTCATGTGTTCACCGACTCTTCAAACATCTCCCTTTTAGGGTTATACCGCAAAAAACATCGAAAAAGTGAAAAAAAAAGCCCAATCCTTCACTTGTTTCGACTTTTTTTACAAAGATATCGAACCAATGACTTCCAATCAAATAGAATCATATGCAGAATAGTCAATTCTATTGGAAAATGTGATTTAAGAATTAAAAAAACCACTTCTAGAAAAAAAATTTTTTAATATCATTAGGTAGTGATATTCGAAAATATCACTCTCAGATTTTGTAAAACGTCTCACCAATTTTGCCAAAAGTGGAATGAAAAGCCACATATCACAGATTGTAGAGCGCAAGTTCTACTATTAGGATCTGTGTTTAGTTTTGTTAGCGCTGTTCCTTTTCGTGGAAAAATTTGGACATCATGGTATAAAAGTGATACAAAAGTACACAATCGAGCAAGTAATTCCCATTTTGCGTAGTCAATAAATATGTTCAGCTCAAAATTGATCACAGATTCAGAATCTACATCGAAATCTACGTATATAGAGTTAGTATCACATTCACCTACGCCTACAATTGTCTAACAACCGATATACGAAAGTGCAATACATAAGAACATAAGAAAAATTAGCAGCGGATTCGAATATTTCCTACTGATATTCGCTCCTGAATCTGTGATGACTCTGTAAGTGATTGGAATGGTTGCAGAATTTGCTTCTCTATCGAATGGTACTACTTTTAAAGGAGGTCATCAGACGAGAAAATTGGGATTTTGCCCAAAACACAGGATTTTGACACAATCCCGCCGGTAATCCTGGTAGACATTCGCTCCTGAATCTGTGATGACTCTCTAAGCAGTGGGGATGGATGCTGAATTTGATTCTCTATCCAATGGTATCACTTCCAAGAGGTTCATCGAACAAAAAGTTGGATTTGGTCCAAAATACTGAATTTTTGACCCAATCCTGCCGGTATATCCTGCTGACATTCGCTCACGTACTTGTGATGGCTCCCTAATTGATTGGGATGGATGCAAAATTCGATTCTTCATCCAGCACAATCAACGAGAGAGCCATCACAACTTTGGAAACGACTGCCAGCAGGAGATACCGGGCAGGACTTTCCAGAAATCCCAGTATTTCAGGCCAAACGCCCACTTCTTGTCTGATGACCTCCTTTAAAAGTAGTACCATTCGATAGAGAAGCAAATTCTGCAACCATTCCAATCGCTTACAGAGTCATCACAGATTCAGGAGCGAATATCAGTAGGAAATACTCGAATCCGCTGCTAATTTTTCTTATGTTCTTATGTATTGCACTTTCGTATATCGGTTGTTAGACAATTGTAGGCGTAGGTGGGTGTGGGTGTGGGTGTGGGTGTGGGTGTGGGTGTGGGGTGTGGGTGTGGGTGTTGGTGTGGGGTGTGGGTGGGTGTGGGTGTGGGTGGGGTGTGGGTGTGGGTGTGGGTGTGGATATCTTCTCATCACATACAGCCACAGCCACACAGCCACAGCCACACCCACACTTACACCCACACACCCACATCCACACCCATACCCACACCCTTTCCATCAATCGAACACAACATAATTTGTATGTACAATTACCTTCGACGACATCTAACGACATAACTGATTGTAAAACAAATCCTTCGTCATGGAGCCCTGAATATTGTTATTTTTTCGACAATAATTTCAATTTGACCTGGCACTTTCCATGTACAAATAAATATTCGTATTGCAATTCCTTCGTCACAAGTGAGAACTTTTGACAAAATATATTTTAACTGCGGTTCGTTCTTTTTAGACAATTGTTTCATTTTGAACAAATACAACAGAGTAGAAAGCCATCTGTAGAGATTCGTAAGCGGGATCGAAACCGGTCATGGCAGCTTGACTCACACCCTCCCCCTCAAGACTTTATCATATTGTCATCTAGTTTTTTCTGTTTGTTATTGAAATTCTCATTTTTCTAATTCTTTCCCATTTATTATCTTTAATTTATCTTTTATATAACTACAGTACTGCTCAAAAATATAAGACCACTATATTTTTGATCTTTTTCTATAATGCTAAATAGTTAGCTCAAATCCAAATAGTGATTCTAATAG